GAACGGTTTCTTCGTAAGACCCTAAAATAAAGTTTTTGTTTCAGTATTCAGTCATAAAAGTAGACAACTTACAGGGTGATAATGGCTGATAGTGAACAATGGAGCAGTATTGGGATCTTTTCGATAAGCAGCAATACCATCTTCGTCATAAATCTTGATGGCAAAGGTTTGCGCATCAGACTGCTCGTGCTCTTGAGTCCAAGAGACCTGCAAAATCAAAGAATGTGACAATGGTCTTCTAGTGACACATACAAATTCTACAAAATCAGCTGATTCATGATGTGGCTTCAAATTTGGATGATTCACCTATTAGCTGCTTAAGAGCTGCTGATAAGGCTTTTGGTTAAGGAATGGTATGGACTAATCAAGAAGTATATAACCGCGAGCTTCGCGAAAGTACGCAGTCTGAAGTCCAAGAGTGTTCGCGAGGAAAGAAAACAAAAAGAATGTCACAGCAACATCCTTTGCTTTACTTGAAAATTGAAGCGAATTATTTGGAAGATTTCATGAAGCTCATTTGGCATGAATTTGATGGAAGGTTCTTTATTTTTCTACTGTATCCGAATTGATTATCCGGAATACGTCATTTTTCAACAATCGTAACTTTTGTGTAAATGGACCGAACTGACATTCGACTATGAGAACATTCTACAAAATTCACTGGTTCAGCTACTGAAAAAATTCAGACCAAGTGCATTTTATATCGGATTATTACTCAATTATTATATGACTTTCATTGAAACATCAATTGTCTTATACAACATGGAAAAAGGATAGACCAAAAATACCTGATATTTCGCAGTCTCTACCGATACTGCTACGTTGTAGATGTTTCCATTGACTACTGCATAAAATGGTGCATCCTAAATATGTAGGATGAGCAGTCTAAATCTTACGCCAAAAACGGAAATATAGCAACTAGCAAGAACCAGAGAACTAATCGTAGAAGAACTGAGACAAAAGAGGATTACCTTCATACTGTTGCTGCATTGAAGAGTGAATTCAGCAATGAAGGTGGTATGGAAATGGAAGAATCCGTCCGTTGTTGAGAAGGAAGACGCAGAATGCTTTGGTGATTCACATTTGAACGCTATAACAGAACGATACCAACTTAACAAATCAGTGCGATACGAGTATTCTGTAATTCGCGGGTTTTAGTGAAATTCCTACTAATTCTTTCTTGCGGTACAACCAACATTGCCGATGTTAGGATGTAAAGACTACATACATTATGACGATATTTCGGAAAGAGAGGTACTAAACATTGCTAGCATAGCATATCTGTTGCTTCTTACGTAATCCTGTTCAAATTTTACAGCCGAATGCAGGACGCCTACGTATGATGATTACAGCTAGATACTACGTATTACAGTTGCTCTACAAGCGTAAGGTATCTGTGCTATCCCACATTAGTTGATCAGAAAATGAAAATTGCGGAATCGCTGAAACTTGGTCTAGAGTATTTTTCACAATGATTACGATTAACACACTTACTACGCGCGGTAGTGCCATCTGATGGAGACGGTAGGATCACGGTAGAGGGTCAGAATCACGGATTTGCCTCAAGCACTAAAGGGTGATTTGGCATGCTGAACATGAATATCAAATTCAATTCGTACGGTAAAATATTTCGCGTTACAGTGGGTATATAGATGGCTAAAAATCCCAAATTCGCTCAAAGCTTTGCCTAAAGGGCTTCTTAAGCATGTCGATTGCAAATATCATGCACGTTCGCTGCAACAATGCCTTATTGCTAGAGTTAATGAGCAGATGAAATACAGTGCGTGGAAGAGCAACTTTCTTTTCAGGCAACTTTCCAGAAACCCACAAAAAGGCTTTATGGTGCGAGACAAGTGCGATAAACGGTCGAGTAGATTTTCAGCTCAATATGGTAAACTCGCACTACAGCTGAAATGCGGTAAAATCTGCGCGTGAACAAATAACCGCACCAGTAATGTCGGCATTTTGCGCGCGCAATAGTCCGGCGTCACAGGCGTAGATTGTTCACGTGTAAATTTTACAGCATTTCACCTGTAGTGCGAGTACACTATATTAAGCGGGAAATCTACTCGACTGCACGTGATCAGCACGTCAGACAAAACAAAGGCTCCACAAAGGCTCGAGCACAGATCTATCAGCTTAGCCACCTAAACCCTATCGTAATCCCGCTAAAAGTTCTAAAACGCAAAAAAGCGTGATATTCGTAATCAGCGTGCTTAGAAATCCTTCCAAGCCAAGTTTTTAGCAAATTCGGGATTTTTAACTATCTATCGTGTACCAACCGTAAACCGAGAAAACGGGGCTACCTACGAAATGAATATCATTCTCATGTTCAGCGTGCCAAATAAAGCCCAGACGAAGTTAGGGGCAAATCCCTGGTTTTGACCTGAGATATCGTTTCTTTAGACAGCCTCCTCAGCAGAGGATTGGTGCTACCCATACAATTATTGCAAGTCTGTTTTCGAACGTAAAAGCTCTGAACTCATGAATGAAGATAGCAAAACGTAGAAAAGAGTTGAGCAATGGAAAGTTGCAACATACCGTAGGCAGAGAGTGCCAGCGAAAGGAGAAGGATGGCTATCATGTTAGGCAATACCTGCAAAGGTTTAATACAGCTCTGACAAAGATAAAAATCCAAAACAACTCGACATCCGAATAACAGCACATCGCGGATTAGCAAAACATAGGAAAGGGCTTCAAAATGCAGTTCACAGGAAGCACAGCTTCACGAATGAGTACCACAACTGAAAGATCACTGTGTTCAGCTGCCTGCACCGTTGGAAAGGTTGTCGGGATTTTTTGGCTTATATCCAATCCGACTGTAGGCAGCTCGGACAAATCTGCGCGGGAACCACGCGTTAAATTATTGTACGCGCCTTCAACATTGTCAGTCATTCGCGATTTTACTTTACAAGTGAGTCAGCTTATTCCCTGCATTAATTTCGCATGTTGTAAGTTAATTTTTTCCCTATTTATGTTTTTGAGCTATTTTCCTAAACAAAGCAAGATTACTAGGGAGTGGGGAGATTGCAGGTTTTGCCTTCTTATCTCTCATCGTTTATGTTCTATGTTTTTTCCTATTGTTATTAAGCTTATTATTTTTCATTTTTCTATTTTTCTCCATATTTGTACATCCGTTCGATTGCAGTTACTGATGAGTGGCAGTCAGGAAGTGAGGATACATGACGTTTGGAACTCAAACGTTGAGGAAGAGTTCGCCAAAATGCGAACTCTCATAGAGGTCCGTTGTTTGTTAGTCGTAAAAGTTTGTCAGACTGGGTTGCAGGA